GGGTTGGTTTAAGGTATGAACCCCCGCTGGCGGAGAGGTAACAATAGGCTCTTGGAGTATTCAGTTAATCTTTGCTGTGCCAGCATTTTAACTGAAGCTGTAGTGATAAGAATTAAAAGTGTTCTCCTGTCATCACGAATTTGTATAAGAGTGCATGTGTGCACATACTAATTGGATGTAACATGTGCTTCAAACGGCCTTGATTCAATTGAAGACTTTTATCTTAAGATTGCTTAGTGAATGTAATGGGTGGAGCTATAAAGCTGACTGGCAGATAAAGAAGCATCGTCGTTGTCATGAATAAAAATGTTTGTATCAGTTGTTAACGATTCCGATGAACACTAGCTTCACTTTCAATAATCGATAAAATATCCACTTCGTTATGTGCTAGAAAAGTGTATTGAAGTGGATTTTTACCTTGCTTGAATAAAGATTACGTATGTACATGAGCTTTTGGTATCAGTCTTCCCAAAATTGTCCGTTCTCCAGAGATAGCTAGGGATTTAAAGTTAAACTGAGAAACTACCGTCGCTTACATCTAAGCATAAACACGTGACGCCGAAACATGTTCCGATTGGGTGTCAAACGAGGCATGATTGAACATCAAATATTTGAAGTTTAGCAGACCGTAACGCGAACTTTCGCGCTCAAAATGTTCACCATCAACAAATACGGACGAAACCGATATATTTTCCTGGTTATACTAGGAGTAAAACCACTTTCGTGAAAGGCGTATGTATGCATATTGACAAAAGTCTTCAATGTCCAATCTTTCTGTCATTTCGTGTGCTGAACTTTTAGCGCGAAAGTTCGCACCACGATCTGCTAAACTTCAAATGTTTGATGACCAATCATGCTATGTTTAACACCCAATTAGAGCATGTTTCGGCGTCACGTGTTCACGCTTAGATGCAAGAGACGGTAAATTTCCACAAGATCGAAACATCTTCGCCGCCATGACCTTTTCAAGTTCTTCCCAAGACTAAATCTGGACACATTTCTAAATACGAAAATATCTTTATTTCGTGCTTACGAATATATGTTGTATTTAATTCCTACTTTCTTAAAGCTGGATGAGAAATACTTAAAAGGTAAAAGTACTTTAACTACAACTGAACTCTATTACACATGTAAACTTATGTACAACGCATGAAAGGTGAACCTGAACAATACAAGTTCGTCAGTTAGAACTTAGCATACTTATAGAGATCAGAGTTTGTCTTCTTCTGACCCTCACTGTGCTCTTCTAAACATAACTTTACTTAACTCTTGTAATAACCGAAAAAACGTAGATATCTTTCATTGTTTGTACTCTGTCAAAAGCTTACATTCCTCAAAATATATCGGTAGATGGCTTTTGGTGATTTAACAGTGCGGGTTGACTATTGCCAAATTTCACGAAACTTTAGATCATCTTTTGTTTCGTCCACAAATTATTACGTTTATGATTATATTTTGGTCATAACTTGACTGTGCTAATCTCGAGAATACTTATGTACGCGAACTTTTTCGCCTAGTTGTAATGGCGACATTATGAAGTTATTATGAGTCGTTTCATGCAAACGCAATACAGTATGACCTCAAGTAGACTGTTAACTAAAACTAACAGCAATTTTTATTTAGTCAGAAATGTGGCCTCAGTGAGCTGAGAAATCATTTTTTGGATGCCATTTTTTCCTTAACTCTCAGGAAAAATAACGCAGGATAGAGGCGAAAAATTCTAAAAGCTATGGCACTCCTTGTCCTGTTCCTGATTGGTTAGTTTTTTAATGTTCATTCGCCAATCACGGACACTACATTGCAGTGTGTGTAACACGTGAGGAATTTAGCGGCACCGCCTCTTGCAGGTCCTAACAAACTGGCTTCTAAAAATCACAGGTAACGTTTTTTTTTTTTGGTTTTACATCTCTTCAGTGTTTTCGATCATGTCATCCTCCTGGATATAAGCATTTTCTCGGCTCATCTGCTCGTCTTGGTTGGCGTACATTTCTTCGATCTTGTTCCTGTTCAGCAAAAGTCGTGCAATGCGGCACTTGACAAACAAAACAGCCAGGGCTATGATTGCAACCAAGGCTAAACCACCAGCGGCCGCTGCGCCTCCAATTACAGCCGCAGATTGCTTGCCTGTATCTACAGTAGAGACACCAGAAAAACATTTGAGGGATAACAAGTTTTACTTGCTGATTGTGAAGAATACTAACAGCTTAAGATTAAATTTCGAAAATGCATGCGTGGTTCGCGTATCATGGCTTTTTTTTCTGCCGCAATATTGATAAGACTTTTGTCGTGGAAGTTAAAGTTGTTAAAGAGGTATATTTTCGTTTAATTGGAAGAGATATTTTTCTGCGTCAAAGGTATAGCTCTAATCTTTGAATACAGGAACACAGGTGTCTGTATTTCTCAACGTTTCCAGCTTGATGCAGGGTTCTTGCAAAGTTTTCGTATGACTTACGCTGCATGGGCACTTGTAGGGGGAAAGCACCTTTTAATCTTCGATTTCTTAGAAAGTTTTGCATTCCTTCTAAACATGCGCTTTTTGAATTATAGAAATTCGGATTTCAGTTAATTACTATACCTGCACTTTCCTTCGGCTTTTCTTTTATCCGCAGAGGCCCTCTTTTGATAACATAACTGTCTGATGTGCTCATTTCTTCTTCCACCTCTCTTCTCTTTCTCCCGCTGCTCCCGCTCAAACATCCTTGATTGCACCTTAAAGTTGACAGATTGCAAAGAAGTTAATTACCTCAACTCTGAAATTCTTTTTAAACGGTTCTCAGTAAGGCTGTGTTACCGAGCTACGTGCTGGATTATTTCTGCACAGCCCAGTCTGATCTAGGCTTAGTGTCACAATTTTACTGAATTCACTTATGCAAACACCACTCTGACCAGTGTAAAAGGTTTTTGATTGCTGGTTCACTTTCTCAGTCACAAACCTAATGTTAGCTAACGATAACTAACCTGGAATTCAGAGAGTTAACGCGACAGGCCAACAGTTCCAAGTGGATGTAATACGAATCGTAGTTATTGACGAATCTGAATGCTCGAAACTTGAGTCTTTGATAGTTGCGGGACTCGTCGTAGTCGTGTTCCAAAGTTGTATCGTTTGGACATCTATCAGAAAACATACCCGTTCTGTTACACTACTAAATAGGTAGCTGATTCTTTAATTAAGAAACGTTGCAACAACCAAGAAGCCTATTTTATGGGCAATACAAATTGAATAAGCAGGATTTAATTAAGAGAGCTATAGGACGTTTTAATCGAAACTGAGATGCCTCGAATTAAGCTATGGACTAAAAGAGGAAAAATGATCGATGGATGGAATACTGATTAACTCCAGTGACTGACTTAATCACAACACTACATAAATAAGGCTTTCGTGATGGTGCTTAATTCACCAGGTCTTCATGTACCTATTATATACCTACCCATTTTCTACAATAGAGTAATGGGGTGACGAATAGAAACTTGCTTCTGGAGTGGCCTTAACAGTCACAGCAAATACTACCAGGTCAGCAGTGGACTCTACGCTGTACTCAAAATACATGTAATCATTGAGGGTCACTTCAACTGGAAATTCATCGTTAGTGTAGGCTGTTGAATATGATGAAGTTTTGTAGACATCGAATGTGAAGGTGAGGTCGCCGAATTCCACTGAAAAATAACGTTACAAATAGGTCAGTCATTTTCATGTATTCAAAATCACATTGAAAGGGTTGATTCGGTACGTTATGTATGGTCTGACCAGTTACATTTAAAGGCTTCAAGTCGTGTTACATGTTTTCAAACACTCTGTGTTTCCCAATGAAGCGACGTCAAAAGCTAAACCTCTTCATACCCACGTTAGGTATCTCTACTCTCCCTTCAGGAACGAACTGCAAGCTAAGAATCTTCTTCCTCGAGTAGGTGCATTCAAACGCAAGGTCAAAATCGTGATCTCGAGTGATCACGGCCGCGGAGCCATAATCTCCAGATCCAGCGCCAGATCCTTGGAGTGGTACTGCGTCTTGTACAACGACATTCGAGAAAACAAGACTGTCTCCCGTTTCGAGGAACAGTGTCCCGCAGCCATGCAAAGAAGTGCTGACATACAAATGCGTGGAGGTTTGTGTGGCTTGACAACCAGCTGATGAAGAGTAATAAAAACGCAGCCGGTTCGCCTCTAAGGACGGATATAATGCCTTTTCAAACGACACTTCGATAACATAGTCACCACATGTAACTGCAACACCAGCCGGAGGTTCTGAAATCAGGACAAAACATTGCAAAGTTAGAAGCTAGATCTAAAATGTTGTTGCATGATGACAGGGTGGTGGAATACTTTCTCATTACAGTACCATTGCCGATCACAGAAAGCGTCAAAAGATAAATGATCAGTACAGCTACTAAGGCCCAGTGCATCATGTCGTTGGAGATGTCGAAAACGTGATTAGTCTTGGCTCGAATTCATCTCCTACAAACGTTGTGAGCTGCTGAGCCTCGTAATTTTTACCTGTCAGTCAAAACTGACAAACTGCGCACTAAAACCAATCACTGAACAGTTTCAGAAAATCCATTCACTTATTAGGTTATTGAAAACAGTCTATTATTTCCATGCACGTAGCTAATTATTGTTGTTGCTTACTATGGTGTGGCTTATGCTATGGCATCCCATCGGCACTGATGCGAAGTCTTTAGAAATGGCCTGCCGATTGATGCGAATTGCAATTTTTGTTCATTTCGTTGCGAAAGTACAGAATCCATTTCTGTCAGTATCAAGTGTTTCTTATCGCTCTTATACTGAATGTACGATAAAGTAATAAAAAATTGAACAAGGCACTAAACGTCACCCTTTGAATTGAACCTACTGGATCATCAAAGGACGTTCCGGTTATTCCATTTTAAGACACTATAAGGAGTTGTTTTTGTGAATATTTTATTAGGAAATGCTTTCAAATTCCTGTCGTGTTATTTCCGAGATACGCCCTATTAAAACAAAAAAACAAGGCAGACACTGAAGGTCACGCTTAACTACTTGATCATCAAAGGAAGTTTCCTGATATTCTATTTAAGACACTAAGGAGTTGTTCGAGTGCATATGTCCTTGTCATGTTATTATTACTTCACATTCTGAGCGTTCGTTATAGAGCGTGACAAGTTACGTTCTACAACGA